ACAGCTGTATACCCGTAACTTGTATGGGCAGGCAGTTACTGAATTGCAGGTAGAATCAATGAACTATGATAGAGCTCACCAACACCGTCGTAGTGCATTGAGAACTACAATCCATTAGCTTGTACTTCATTCATCATGAATGACGTGGTGGTGTGGGCGGAGCGCTGTTTTTAAATTGTGACAGCAGGTGCAGGGAACAGATCCCCCCACCCACTGTCACAGGGAGGCAGGGATCGGATAAAAAGGAGGAAGGAGCTGGAAAATGCTACATGTTCCACCCTAAATACAGGTGGAACATGTAACCTGTTTCAAAAGTGAACTTATCCTTTAAACACGTAAAGTAGAATGGAAGACAAAACATTATTCCCCAATATGGATAGAGTAAGGGGGGTTATAATCCCTGTCAGGTTCTTTATTCCCATCTGAGACCGATATCCAAAACAGGATGTGAAAGAAAATCCCTCCAAAATGTGAGAATTCTTGATTGTCACCAAAACTAGAGTCCTCATTAGAAGATATTACTGTTCTGGGGACAGCCCAAAATTTGGGATTTTCTTTTACTTTCACATTCGATAATAATAGTAAATAGGTCAAATAGAAAGGGTAAATCTTCCTTATGGGGTCATAGACAGGATAAAACATTAGTGCCTTCACAGATCTATATTAGAACCAATATTAAACTGTCCACATGCAGTAACAACTTGACTGAAAAGTGAAACTTTCCTTGTAAAGTGAAAAGCATATTTGCCTTTAATACATTAACCCCATAATGTCCAAAAATGTGGAAATTCCTTATGTGCAGTAACCAGCATTTGTTTTTCTTCTCAATACAAACCCCACAACTTCACCACCCCCTATCTAAGACTCCTACTGTAAACAGCTCCACAGCATTGAATGTTTACTCACAATTTCAGTTGTAAAGAATCAGTCAGTGCTTTGGGCTGTGTGATAGAGATGTCGGTGTAGTGTATGTTTACTAGCAGCCGTTTACTAGCAATGATGACTGTTTACTAATGAATTTGTAAATGAACAGTCAGCACTATGTCATAGGTCTGCCACAATGTATGTTTACTAGCAGTTGAAGATCTATCACACAGACCCGCCAGCATTGACTGTTCATTTATGAATTCAATAGTAAACAATCAGTCGACACTGCAGGGTTGTGTGATAGAACTGTGCCACAGCTCTGAGAGATCTTTAGCTTGTTTTGTGAATGGTGTTGACCTCAGAGAAGAGTGCTGTCAAAAAGCCCTCATCAAATATCTGTCTCCTTGCTAGCAGTGTGGTCAGACAGTGGTGGGGAAGGTAGGAGGTACAGATGGGAAGAATTGATTACAGAAGACACTGGATGCAGTTGTGTTCTGGACAATACACATTTTTCCTCTTCATGGGCCCCCTGAGAGGGTGAAGAAATGGACTTTGGACTCAAATACTTTTCAGTTAAGTGATTGGTTCAAACTGGTAATGTCCACAGCACAGCCTCTCCGTCGTGGGTACTAGAGTTGAGAACTGTAATGTATGCCATTATTTGGAAAGTAAAAGTTACATTCACTCAATGTTGTCCCATTATTGTCTGTGTGAAAATGGAGTGTGGGCCGTATTGAGCCAGGCACAGCTGATGTAGAATTAAGGGGCGAAGGAAGGAGGGGAAGCTTCCATGAGAAGGGAAAGGTGGTGGCCAAGCAAAGGAAGATCCAAATTGGTGAGGTGATCCAGGATGCACCCTCCTGGGCTTCTGTAATTTGGTCCCCAGAAATGGCACTGTGATAGTCCCAGAGGCCTGACCTGTCACCATAGAAGACGCAAGCCCTTGCGAGTACTGTTGTGTTGTGTTGGCTCCTATCCTGTCTCTAGGGCAAAGTGTGTTAGGACCTGTTGAGCCATTAAGAGTAGGAACGAGAAGTTGTGTTCTGCACGGTCTCCCCTAAAATGTCTCCTGGTCAATTGGCGCAAAGAGTGAGAGTAAAGATTCCTTTTGTTGTGAAGCCGCAAGTGAGTCATGATAGCCTCCTGTCACAAAGGGGCACTTCGGTACTTCCACATGCTTACATGTACTGTTTGTTCCATTACACTTCAGGATGCACTGTGAGTGTTTTGCTTTTCTATTTACCTACTTGAATTCCTCCAGGCTGACCTAAATCCTAAACCTCATCTTCTTCAAGAGGGACCTCATCTTTTCACCAAAGGTGTAAATGGCAGTATTGTCCCTGGAGGAAGTTATTGTAAGGTACAGCACCTGTTGTAAGGTATAGTCCAAAGTGGAGCTTTGGCTGGGGGTTGAGGCGTTAGTGTAGTCAGGCAGGCCAGGTCAGCAACAAATCTTGACAGCAAGGTACAAAGCCAGAATCTAGAAGTGTGGTGGGAGACAGGTAGGGTCATACACAGATTGGCAGAGTAATGTAGAATCGTCAGGCAAAGAGAGTAATCTAGGAATCAGGCAGAGGTCAAAGTCCAGAAGTTCAGTAGCTCAGCAGTATAGCACACCCAAGGAAACAGATCCAACAAATGGGCACAATCCATAGGAAGTCCTGCAATTTAAGCTGATCTGATTGTCAATTGATTGCAGCTGGAAGACAGGTTGGGGCTAGAGAGTACTAGGAGCAGAGGTACTATGCAAGGTGTTTACTGTGAGACTTTGGGAGAGTGAACAAGCAGCCCAAAGACAGAAGGACCTAAATTCAATCCCAGGTACATGACAGGCATAGACAGAGCCATGTAATATTCCAGCATCCTCTCTGGTTAGCAGGAAACCCGAAGACACAGGGAACAGTATGAAATGGTAATCGTATGCTAAAGCAACATTTATTGTAATATGAATATACTATTAGGCACACTGTGGAGAATAGTTCCAAATGGAAAGGTTGTCATGAGTCCAGACAGTAAAGTACAATTAAGGGCTACTTGCCCAATTTTATTAAAAGTAAAAAAAAAAAAAAAACCTACAACTGAGGTTACTTTTTCAGATCTCCGTCAAAACACACATTCAGCTTTCTGGCTTTTCTTTGCAGCACCCAATGCTCTGGCCTTCAGCCTTATGGCCCATGTCTGTTTCTCCACACACAATCCTCTCCACGTTTGTACAACACCCAACCAGGCTGCCCTCACCAGCGCAGCCCCTTTTGCCTGAATCAAGGCACAGTCCTTTTGTAATATAGAGAAGCTTACCAGTCATTAGATGTGGTGACTGCATTCATTTTCTTTTTTTAGTCTTTTGTTCCCCTGTTTTCATCTGGTGTTCTGGCCAGTAACACACCTCCTGTATTAGAGTGCTCCCACTCTGGATGAATGCGCACAGGGTGCACATTAGGACACCAGCATTGTCAGTCTGGGGGGAGGGGATGTACTGTTAGATGTACTAATAGATTTGAATACACTAACAAACTGAATCCAAACTCCAGCTAATACTTTATAAGAAGTTACAGCAAACCTTTTTTTTTTATGTTGGTTTAATTTTGGCATTAGTATATGTACCCCATGCTGGTTTCAGGCTTCCTATACATTTTGTTTGATAATAGATTACCAACTGTACAAAAATGCCAGAATTAAATATAGATTTGCACAATGGAAAAATTTGGTTTGTTTCGGGTTTGTTAAGCAAGTTAATAGTTGTGTTTCATCATATTTGTTATGTTAGAATTAAACATTTTTGTAATTTGTTTTGTATATTAGGATTTGTTTTGTAGATTCGTTATTTTCAAATCAATTCAAAATTTGAAAGATGACTATATTCAGTTTATTATATTCTATTCTTTTCTATTTTATTCTATTGCATTCTTTTTTATTCTACTCTGCTTTATTCTATAAAGCAGCCTAAGTATGAATCATTACCTTATTTCACAGTTATACCTTGCTGTATTTATTGCAATATATTTCCATTTTGAATTCAAATTCACTTTCAAATTCAAATTCTAATTAATTTTTTAATTAGAATTCAAATAATTGTTTCAATGTAATTTATTTTGGATTCTTTGAAATTTGTTATTATGATCTGGAAATTCGGATACATCCGAATCTCCGAATAATAAAAATCTTGTCCAAAATTTTTTTCGTAACGAATCGCACATGTCTAGAATTCAACATGATTTGCATCCCATAGAGTTCAGTGGGGTTCACTCCAAAGTTAATAAACTTTGAACAAGATTCATGAAATTGATTGCAAATCAAACCCAGGCAGATTCTTTCATTCCATTCTTAAAGGAGAAGTATAGCCAAAGCTTGTATGGCTGTACTTCTCCTGTGGTTCACAGGAGTGCAGTTCGTTCTGCACTCCTGTGACCCGTTTTCAATCAACAATGGTCTGAAGCCCGTTGCTGGCTGACATCGCTCAGCTGATCCAGGCTAGGGAAAGATCCCAACTTTAAAGTGAGCAGCTGAGAGTTTGAGCCATCCGTTCACTCCCCCTCCACAGCCCAGCGCTCCAGTGAGCGCGGGGGGGGGGGCACAGCAGACAGCGGTGACTGACAGTCACCGTTCTCTGTTCACAGCGGCGATGAGAACTCACCAATAAGTCACCATGTGATCGCTGAGTTCTCACACTTAGAGCTAGCCAGGGGACAGATGCAGCATCAGATCGATGCTGCATTCACCTACGTAAGTATAAATGGGGGGAAAAAGGCCACACTTCTCTTTTAACACCAACAGTTTAGATTATTTCAAAGTTTCAATAGAAAGTGTTGTTTACAAGATGAAGTGTTCATTTGCTTGTTTTAACAATTGAAAGCTGGAAGAAAGCAGATGAAATTGACTTACAAATTGTTGCTGAATGCACATCTGTAATTCTTGCTGTTTTTCCTCTTAAATTGTTACTAAACCCAGGACCCTGCATCCACTATATCTGGTCTCCCACAGTACATAGAACACAGAAATGCAATTATTTTAGTAAATATAAACTGCTCAATACCTTTTTTCATTAGCAGTATATAGCAGTCTTGTGATTTCTATCAGTGTTCAGCATAGCACTGGTTAAAGCCCGTAGGAGGAGTTTTCTTTCTGCTCTAGGAGGATGCAAAACCCCTGACCTCTGTCTGGACAGTGCTGATTGGCCCTGTGCTGATCACATGCACTCTCCCAAGAGAAACAAAACCTCTCTAGCAGCATACACTCCAAACTGAGCATGCGCAGAATGGCTACTGTTCAGTCTGTCTTATCAGGAGATAAGAGGTGGACATTTGAACAAGAGGAGGAGCAAAGAAGTCAGGATCAAGTGGCCTTTTTACACAATGCAGCGGATTAACCCCTTAGGTTCCACAGTGATTATAACAAACATGCTTTACTGCATATACAGACTGATTTTAGGATAGCATTAGGATACTTTTAGATGATCTCATGCCCCCTTGACATGTGTAAATACATTAAGCAAACTCCCTAAAGTCAAGCCATTCGTTATTTTCAAATAACTAGAATATACAGCTTCTTATACAGATCTGACAAAGTCTGAGAAAGAGGGAAGCATTAATATCCAAACTATAGAGAAACACAAAAGGCAACAATTATACGAGTGTTGCCAACACACAGAACAACTGGTGGTTTATATATTGTGCCTTTAGAACACTATTTAATGTGAGAAAATATAGTACAATTATTGCTTTAAATGACCATTTTAATTTTTAATACTGCCATTATGGACTTGTGAATTGACATCACTAAGGATGCTCATTAGAACACAATAGAAAAAAAACATTTCTTATCTATAGTGCTGTGATGCATACCTATTTATGCTCCCTGCCCACGCATCTTGTGCACACCAAATTTCACAAAACACATGAAAACTGTAACTTTGATGTGTACTATGATGCCTTTAGGTAATATTTCTTCTAGTGGACACTGCTATGTCAAGCCAAAAAGACACTATGTGGTAATTAAAATGTTAATATTGTGAGATATGGATGTTCATCAACTGGTTTTGAAATTCTATTTTTGTTAGTAATAATACTGTTGGAAGCAATACAATCAATCTGTAAAGAGCATGACGATCACACATATTCCACTACATAGAGGCTGCCAAAACAAATCGATAAAAATATAGATAGATAACCTGTGAATATACAATATAATGCATGGCACCTCCTGCATGGAGTTTGCATGTTCTCCCTGTGCTTTCGTGGGTTTCCTCCGGGTGCTCCGGTTTCCTTCCACACTCCAAAGACATGCTGGTAGGTAAATTGGATCCTGTCTAATTTGGCCCTATTATGTGTATGTATGAATGTAAGTTAGGGACCTTAGATTGTACACCCCTTGAGGGTTAAGGACTGATGCGAATGTTCAATTTATATGTGTAAAGCGTTGTGTAAATTGACAGTGCTATATAAGTACCTGAAATAAATAATTTCATTTATGTACAGTACACACACATGTAAAAGAAAAAAAAAATATATATATATATATATATATATATATATATACACAGTTGTGTTCAAAATAATAGCAGTCAGACATCACTAACCTGATCAATCACTGTTTTTGGTAGAAATGACATTTCTACATGGCAAAAAATTTACTAGCAGGTGTAGTAGAGTAATAGAAATCCAACAGACCCAACAGTCATGACATGCATGCTGCTGATTCTGTGTAATTGAATCACTAATTGAAAGGGGCATGTTCAAAATAATAGCAGTGTCGAGTTCTATTAGTGAGGTCATTCATTCTTTGAAAAACAGGTGGCAATTATTGCCCTTATTTAAGGAAGGAAGGCAGCAAATGTTGTACATGCTGGTTACAGTGCATTTCTCTCTTAAATTCTGAGGAAAATGGGTCGTTCCAGACATTGTTCAGAAGAACAGCGTACCTTGATTAAAAAGTTGATTGGAGTGGGGAAAACAAATAAAGAAGTGCAGAAAATGATAGACTGCTCAGCTAAAATGATCGCAAATGCTTTAAAATGGCAACCAAAACCTGAAAGATGTGGAAGAAAGCGAAAAACTACCATTCGAATGGATAGAAGAATAGCCAAAATGGCAAGGACTCAGCCAACAATTAGCTCCAGGAAGATCAAAGACGTTCTAAAGTTACCTGTGAGTACTGTTACAATTAGAAGACGCCTATGTGAAGCCAAGTTATCTGCAAGAAGCCCCCGCAAAGTCCCACTGTTGAAAAAAAGACGTGCTGAAGAGGTTACAATTTGCCAAAGAGCACATTGACTGGCCTAAAGAGAAATGGCGCAACATTTTGTGGACGGATGAAAGTAAGATTGTTCTTTTTGGGTCTAATGGCCAGAGACAGTTTGTCAGACGACCCCCAAACACTGAATTCAAGCCACAGTACACTGTGAAGACAGTGAAGCATGGTTGCCCAAGCATCATGATATGGGGATGTTTCTCATACTACGGTGTTGGGCCTATTTATCGCATACCAGGGATCATGGATCAGTTTGAATACATCAGAATACTTGAAGAGGTCATGCTGCCTTATGCTGAAGAGGGAATGCCCTCGAAATGGGTGTTCCAACAAGACAACGACCCCAAACACATCAGTAATTGTGCAACATCTTGGTTCCAGACCAACAAGATTGACGTTATGGAGTGGCCAGCCCAATCCCCGGATCTTAATCCAATAGAAAACTTGTGGGGTGACATCAAAAATGCAGTTTCTGAGGCAAAACCAAGAAATAGAGAAGAACTGTGGAATGTAGTCCAATCATCCTGGGCTGGAATAGCTGTTCACAGGTGCCGGAAGTTGGTTGACTCCATGCAACACAGATGTACAGCAGTTCTCAGAAACAGTGCTTATACAATGAAATATTCATTAAGTGATTCAAAGGAAAGCAAAATCTTCAAACATTTTTCAGTTTATATAGTGAATGTTTGAGTTTGTAAAGAAGAATACAAACACTGCTATTTTTTTAAACAGTCTAATATTCACTTTTCTTCAATTGTTTTAGAGGAACAGCACAAATTTGATATATTTTTCTTCATGTTTTGATTTGGAATAGAATGTGTAGTGTTCCCAATGCATTTGTCTGTATGGAAATAAAAGCTATTAGAAGGATTTTGAGCTTTATTCACTTTTTTCAACAAACTGCTATAATTTTGAACACAACTCTATATATATACAGTATATACAAACACACACAATTAAATGTGTGTGTGTGTATGTATATTGTTTGTGTATATATATATATATATATATATATATATATATATACAGTTGCAAGAAAAAGTATGTGAACCCCTTGGGATTACGTGGAGTTTTGCATGAATTGGGCATAAAATGTGCTCTGAACGTCATCTAAGTCACAACAATAGAATAACACAGTCTGCTGAACATAATACTACACAAATATTAGATGTTGCTATGGTTTAATTGCACATAACATGTAAACATTCACAGTGCAGGGAGAAAAAGTATAGCTGCAGAGGGTGAGCTAACTCAATATTGAATGTTGCGGACTAAGACTGGGATGCCATTAAAGTTCATGTGCGTGTAAAGGCAGGCTCAAAAAAATCAAAGAAACACTATGAAAACATAACAGATCTCAAAAAATATCATACTGGATATCTATACTGAAATGGACTGGGTAATGTTTTAGGAACGTAAGGATGCCCCATCATTTGATGTAAATGAAAATTATCAATCTACAGAGGACTGAATTCAAAGATACCCCAAAAATTAAAGTGAAAAAATGATGCAGCAGGCTAGTTCATTTTGCTGAAATTTCATTGCAGCAACTCAAAATGGTACTCAGTAGTTTGTATGGCCCCCGCATGCTTGTATGCATGCCTTTATGAGACGACGGATGGTGTCCTGGGTTATTTCCTCCCAGATCTGGGCCAGGGCATCACTGAGCTCCTGGACAGTCTAATATGCAACATGATGGCGTCGGATTGACCTAAACATGATATCCCAGAGGTGTTCTATTGGATTTAGGTCAGGTGAGCATGGGGGCCAGTCAATGGTATAAATCCTTTCATCCTCCTAGAACTGCCTGCATACTCTCGTCACATGAGGCTTGGTATTTTCGTGCACAGAAGGAACCCAGGACCCACTGCACCAGCGTAGGGTCTGACAATAAGTTCAAGGAATTCATCCCTATACCTAATGGCAGTCATGGTGCCATTGTTTAGCCTGTAGAGGTCTGTGCGTCCCTCCATGGATATGCATCCACAAACCATCACTGACCCACCACCAAAACGATCATGCTGAATGATTTTACAGGCAGCATAATGTTCTCCACCTCTTTTCTAAACCCTTTCACATGTTCAAGGTGAACCTGCTTTTATCTGTGAAAAGCACAGGGCGCCAGTGGCAGACCTGCCAATTCTGATGTTCAATGGCAAATGCCAATCGAGCTCTATGGTGCTGGGCTGGGAGCACAGGGCCCACTAGAGGATGTCAGGTCCTCAGACCACCCTCATGAAATCTGATTGTTTGGTCACAGACATTCACACCAGTGGCCTGCTGCAGGTCATTTTGTAGGGCTCTGGCAGTGCTCATCCTGCTCATCCTTGCACAAAGGAACAGACACCAGTCCTGATGATGGGTTAAGGACCTTCTACGGACCTGTCCAGCTCTCCTAGAGGTACTGCCTGTCTTCTGGAATCTCCTCCATGTTCTTGAGACTGTGCTGGGAGACACGACAAACCTTCTGGCAATGGCATGTATTGATGTGCCATCCTGGAGAAGTTGGACTGCCTGTGCAACCTCTGTAGGGTCCAGATATCACCTCATGCTGCCAGTAGTGACACTGACCCTGGCCAAATGCAAAACTAGTGAAAAACAGTCAGAAAAGATTAGTAGGGAAAAAACGTCAGTGGCCTTCACCTGTAAAACCATTCCTGTTTTGGGGGTTGTCTCATTGTTGTCCATCTAGTGCACCTGTTGTTAATTTCATTGACATCAAAGCAGCTTAAACTGATTAACAACCCCCTCTGCTACTTAACTGACCAGATCAATATCCCAGGAGTTTAATTGACTTGATGCCATACTCTGATTAACCTCTTCACGCCAGTGCCTCCTGGCCCTTTAAGGTGTTTCAGATGCCGGGAGGCGGGGCGAGGTTTTAAGGTCATGTGACCACCGTGATTCGCTGTCACGGCGGTCATATGATTGGAAAACCTTTCCGTGAGACACTGACATATGGGCTGGGAGTGCACAGGGTGCCTGCTTTTCACCGCATATGTGTTTTCAAGTGGTACGCAAATATACAGCCGTTCGCATCAGGGTCCAGCCGC